AAAGACTTAAATGGAAAAATATAAGATGATAAAATTCTTAGAAGAAAATCTATAAATTACCTATAACTTCTAAGGACAGGGAAAACTTTCTTAACCAAGACAGGAAACCCAAAAGCCATGTAAAAAGAAAAGACAGTGATTATATAAGATGTTAACATCCAAAATTATAAAAAGTTACCATAAACAATTGAATAGAAAATTTATAAACGAGGATGAAATGCAGTACAGATGTCAGACAAATATCTATACAAAGCTCTTTGATACACAGGTAAGAAAAAGATAAACAGCCCAAGAGAGAATAACATGAATTGCTTAGGACACAAGCAAGCAATTCAGAGAAGAGTCCGGTTAAAAACAAACATGTCGACTGATGCTCAGAAATACTTGCAGAAAGGAAGGAAAATTAAATTCTTGCCATCAAACTGGCAAAAATCAAATGCGACAAACTTGTGGGGTATCGTGGTTAGAGATTAAAGGGGGATGGCACTTTTACACGATGCTGTGGGCGTGTAAACAGTAACAATCTTAGTAAGCAATCTGGCAAAATCTGTGAGAATTCAAAATACAATCCTTTTAAAACTTCAAAATTTTGAATCATGTGAATTTAACACCTACTCATATATATATATATACATATATATATATATATATGTATACATATAGCAATGCAGTGCATCCACTTAAAGCAAGAAGAGAAATCTTAAATACACTTGGTAAATTGACCATTTGATTAATATAAAATATCCTTCATTATCTCTGGTAATATTCTTTGTTGTGAAGTCTACTCTGTTTGATATAAATATTGATACTCCAGTTTTCTTTTTAAATATATCCTTCAACCCAGTGTCCTATTCCTACAAATATTTTCCATAGAAACAAAAGCACTCACATATAAGAATAGTGTACTACAATCTTTATCGCAGTATTGTTTCTCTCAGGTCAGTAGTAATGTAGAGAAGGAGGAAGGCAGGGAGGGGGAAGAGGAGGGAGGGATGGGGAGAGAAAGAAAGAAGAGAGAGAGAAAGAATTCCCAGCAATAAGCAAGTGGGAGACTAAATTATAACTGTGTTAGAATAGAACTTATAAGAATGAATTCAAGTTGATGTGGAAGGCGTTCCACAAAATATTACTGAAGTAACTAGCAAGTGGCAAAAAACTATACGATGATGGTCTTGTTTTATGACCAAAAAATAGCTCCTATATAAATGAATGTATATCTGTCTCTTTATATAAAAATATATACATGCATGGATACATGAATACATATATACAGTTACACATGTGTATGTTTACAAACTATCTTAACAACTATACTCCTTAACATGGGTTACCTGGGGTTAGTTGACAGTGGGAGATGCAAGTGAAAAATAAATTTTAAAAAAGACTACAACAATTCAAAAAGAATATGATTCGATTTATGTGAAATTTGAATGAGATAAATGAAAAGAAAAACATTGAAAATGAAAAAGTAACCAGTGAATTTATGTGACAATAACTGACTTTCCCAGATACAGCTTACTAAAGGACCCAGCTGCTTCTGTCAAATCAATTTCCATAGAGGCCAGTTGCTGCAAAATGTAAAATATAACCAAACTCGCCTATCTTTTCTGTTTTTATTTTCCTCTAAAAAACTTTAAAAATTTTTCCCTTTTAAAAACAATTTTTAAATGATCATGGAAATGCAAATTAAAGTCATAATGAGATATCACTTTGCACCTGTCAGAATATCTATCATCAATGAATTAAATAACACATGTTGGTGAGGATATGGAGAAAAGGGAACCCTCGTACACTGTCGGTGAAATTGCAAATTGGTACAGCCACTATAGAAAACAGTATGGAAGTGACTCAAAAAATTAAAAATAGAGCTGCCATATGATCCAGCAATACCACTTCTGGGTATTCATCTGAAGAAAACAGAGACACTAATTCAAAAAGATAGATGCATGCCAATGTTCATTGAAGCATTACTTTAAATAGCCAAGATATAGAAGCAACCTAGGCGTACACTGCCAGATGAATGAATATAGAACAATACTCGGCCAGGAAAAAGAATGAAACCTTGTCATTTGTGACAACATGGATATTTCTAGAAAATATTATGCTAAGTGAAATAAGTCAGACAAAGACAAATACCATTTTAAGAGGTACAAATTTGCAGTTATAAAATAAATAAATCATGGGAATGTAATGCACAGAATAGGAAAAATAGTCAATCACAGCATAACTTTGTACAGTGAGAGTTACTAGACTCATCTTAGTGATCACTTCATAAGATATATATGTTGCATCACTATGTCGTATACCTGAAACTAAGGTTAACTGTACTTTAATAGAAAAAATAAAACATCATGTATCTACTTGTACTTTTTTTTTCTGTAGACGTGATATTGCTGAACCATCTTTTTCTATATGACAATATCAATTTTCTTGGTGAGTTTAATCTGTAAGGATTTTTCATAATCACTTTTACATTAACAGTTATTTCTGCCATCTTAATTCCTGTTCTCTATTTTTAAATATCTTTCTCTCTTACTATTTTCCATTGAATGGATCAAAATTACTTATGCTAGCTGTGAAGTTTGTGCTCTATTTTTCTTCTCTGGTGGTTATTCCTAACTTATTAAAACCCAAGCTTAGGTTTGTTTTTCTCTATCAATTTCTAAATTTAATCAACAACTATATCTCCTTTGCAAAAGACACCACTCACTTAACATGCTTTTAATGCTTCTGGTTCCCCACCCTTCAGCAGTTTGTTATACTCTAGAATTTGAACTAGATTACTATACATTTTTTTCCTTTGGACATTCCTCGTTTAGACAACAGATCTTACTGAGTTGATTACTCTCCAGTAGTTCTCATTTAGAGTACCTTCTTTAGAGTTGTTAATCATTTTGTTGGAATACTTTCACCAAGAGTGTTTTCAAATTATGTCTATGTATAGTATGACTTTTAAGGCCTTTTGTGTCATAGGACATCTTTATTTCACTTGCACATTTCAATGACAGTTCAGCTAGATATAAAGGTCTAGACTCAAAAAATGGTTTTTTTAATTCTTTGGAAATATTACTCCAGTGTTGCTATTAAAATGGTAGATGTGAATCTAATTCTTGTTCCTTTATAGATGACCTGTTTCTTTCCCTCTGGAATTGTTTCCTTTGCTTAAATTTCATCCGAGGATGTCAGTATTGATATTTTCTCTTCTCTTGTTTGGTACACAATAAGTTCATTCAATCTTTTTCTAATTGTGGGGAAATTTCAATTAGCAGTTCTTCAAATATTTAACTCTTCTTTATTTTTTTTTTCTCATTTAGGGCCCCTATTAATCAGATATTGACACATTCTATTTTTTAAACCCTTTAATTTTTCTCTCATTTTTTTAGTTCTTTGTTTCTTCTTGATGCCTTCTGGGAATGTTTCAAAATCCACTCCATCTCATTAATTCACTCATCAACTGTATTCATTCGACCCAGACGTTAAGTTTTTTTTTTTTTTAATTTCTGTTATATCTGATTGGTTCTTTTTTATAACTTCTTGGCCTTGTTTAATGTTTACAATGCCCTCCTCTATACCCTTGAGAATATTAGGATTACTGTAAGGTCTTGTTTCTGTGGCTCATTAATTCTGCTCTCTCTAGAATTAGTTGTTCAGTTTGTGATCTCTTCCCAATGCTTTACATCGGTGTTATTCAAATATCTCTTTATCTTTCCTGTTTCTTTTGGAGAATCAGCTATAGTTATATGTCGAGTTCTCAATTCCATCCATATCCCACTTGCTTCTGAGGCATCTCCAGAATGAGACTCAAAGGAGGAAAACCACAATTGCTATAAGTTCCCCATCTTGACACTCCTACATCATAAACTAGACTTGAGATCCTCAAGATTTAGTCTGATTTAGTTTCTTCTCATGTTCAGTAGAATTAGACTATGTCACAGGATCACCAAACAATTTCCATTTGTTTATAGAAAGAAATAGTTTTCTAGGCACATGAGAGGGATAATAATGGCAAAGAATGGCAAATAATGATGGAAAATGTAATAATTTCTGAAATTTCTTGGAACCTTAATACTTTGTGATTGTTATAGTGAATCTTATTTTCCTTCTTCCCCTTCATAAACCCTTATGATGTAATTTCTTAATTCAAAAATTATTAAAATTTAGTTTTGAAGATTTCTTAACTGAACCATATCTGACCACCAAGATAACTGGAAAGGCTTTTTATGAAACCAGTTTGGATATTTCTGATCTAAAAATGTAGTAAGAATTGGTTTGACGTGTTCGATGGAACTATTTCTGTCTTGCCTCCATGTTCTTGATGGAGATAAAATACAAATATTGATATTTGTATCTTACCAGATACCTGCACAAATGTCTAGCCTTTTCTATTGATCTAACACTCACTTATTCAAAAATATTTGTTGAAAACTTGCCATATGCTTGTTCTTGTTGCCAGGTGCCCAGCAAGAAAGACACAGTCCTTGCAGTCACAGAGCATTAGAGTCTAACAGAGAATCCAGATTGAATGTAGGTTCTGTTAGGGCAGGGATTTTTTTTGTGTTGTCTTCCAGTGTATTCCAGGCACCTAGAACAGTGTAAATATTGTTCAAATGTTAAGTGAGTAAATATTTAACACTAATTGCAAGTGTGGGGAGCATTATGGAGGGAAAGTACAGATGTTGTGGAGTAGATAGAAATGAGAGGCCTTAGCTGCTCTAGGGGGTTGTATAGAGCTAGTTCTCTTCAGATGGGTTCATGCAGGCTCAGTTAACCAATCAGTACCTCTTTTCTATTCAGGCCACCCTCCTATTAGGTATGTAGGCTTCGGCCACCTTGAATTTTTTCAGTAATTGATTTCTGTAAATGAGAAATTAGACAGATTGCTTAACAATACTATGTGTTTATAGAAATAAAAGAAAAATCACAGTTTAACAGATTTGTGTTTCCTGCTTCTTGTCTGCCCACGCCCATGCCCCCACCCCATTTTCTTTTCTAACTTGCAGATGAAGGAGCATCTATGCATCCTTGTGATGATACCTACTGTGGACCTTTCCCAGAATCTGAGCCAGAAGTGAAAGCTGTAGCTAATTTCCTTCGAAAACACAAAAAGCACATTAAGGCTTACCTCTCATTTCACGCCTATGCTCAGATGTTGCTGTATCCTTATTCTTACAAATATGCAACAATCCCCAATTTTAGCTGTGTGGTAAGTAAGTATTTGACCCTGTACATGTGTGTTGGGCTTCACGCTTCTTTTCTAATGCTAACATGGTTCTAAGTAGTAATGATAAAGCGAACACATATTGTGTTTATTCTAATAAGCATTTTATATATTTTAACTCATTTTTTCATAATCAGATAAGGTAGGAAACTATTATCTCCATTTTACAGATGAGAAAATTGACACCTAGAAAAATTAAATAGACTACGAACACAGTTACTAAGTGTCATAGCAAGATTCAGCTCCGAATCTAGCTCTAGTATCGTTGTTTTTAACCACTGTGCTATGTTGTTTCTCAGATGCAATCATTTCAAATCTATTTACATTCTTACCACAGGTCACACAGAAAATGTCAGTATGGATTTGATTAGTATTACAGTTTTGGTCACATGTGCAGGGCTGTGATTAACTTTATTGAGCAAATAATTGCTCATAAATTATGGTCTGACTCTCATTAATTAAAAGCAAGTTTTAATTCATTTGCTTAATGCTACTTGCTTAATGCTATTTGCTTAATGCTACTAAGTCTCTGGGCACATATCTGACAAGGTAGTGGTAAGAAATAACAGCCTTTCAGGCATAAGATTACCTGAAAGTGAAAAAGCAGTGTTCCTTTCTCTCTTCATCTCAGAAACTCAACAAGCTATCCACTGTAGGCATAATTCCTAGTAAAGTGAGCCTGATTCAGAACCTACAGTATCTAAAGGCCTACCAAGTTCAAGACCAGGCCAAACTAAGATACAGTGAGGAAGCGGAGCAGAGGGAGCAGTGATCATGAGGAGGCACAGGAGGGCTTTGGGGTTGCTGCTAACTGTCTGTGCCTTCACCTGGCTGGTGTTTCATGAGTGTGTGCAATTTGTGATCATTCATTGAACTTTAAACTTAAAATTTGTATTCTCTTCTGTATGTTATACTTAAATTTTTAAAAGTTTTATAAAAGAGAAGCATCCATTTCTTTCTATATACCTTAACTCTAAATCCTGCACGAGTTACCTAAGGTTGCAGGAAATCCTGATCTGTCCAAGACTAGAAGGGATGGGGAAAGTGAGGAGGTCAGGAGATGGCCTGAGAGAAGACTTACATTCTGTCCAAAAGAACTTTGTTCTTGGCATTCCAAGCAAGAATTCTGAGCAAATTCTCTCCCTTGACTAATATTATGAATGTAATAGTTCTATTTGACAGTGCTATTCTTCAGCTGCTCTTTTGGTCAAATAGGTATTTTGTTGGTGCGTGGTGGTAGTGTTGACCTAGCATCCTAACCACCACGTATCACAATGTTTCTATAGGCAAACATTTAGCCTTTTCTAAGTTGGGCACAGTGTCTATTTATAGTCTCACAACAGATTATATGGGGTATATGATATATTAAAACTATTACATGAGAATGTTCTCCATATTTTGAATTTATCTTTCCACCAAGAGATAACCTATTTTCTTTTTGTCTTGGTTTGGAGGATGTGGTATAAAGAGTAGATTAGTTATTCACAGCCAAGGATAGATTTGCCTCTCAAGGGATATTGGACAATGTTGGAGACATTTTTGATTGTCACAACAGGGCTGGGGGATGCTATTGACATCTAGTGGGTAGAGGCCAAGGATGCTGCTAAACATCCTGTGATGCACAGGACAGCCTCCCACAGCAAAGAATTATTCAGTCCAAACTCTCAGTAGTGCCACTGTCGAGAAATCCTGTTAGTGGGTTACATATAAATCATTAAAAACAGGATTATAATTCTCCAGGTCATCTCTGAGTGTTAACCAGAGACCATTAAATTCTATTAAAATTGTTCAAAAACATTCCATCAATATATAGGAGTCTGTGTTTCTGCTAGCATTTTTTAGGTCATTCATTAAGTTGCTTTGGATATGCAAATAAAAAATATTCTCCTTAGCTGAGGTCTGATAAGTGAAGCCAGGGTCCTTTAGGACAATTGGAAAGAGAAAGCAAAGAGAAAAGAGGAAGTACTTAAGCTCTCTCAAATAGGTGTCTAGCTGTGCCACCCAGGAAAGTAATCCTCAGAAAATGTGCTGAAGTTTCCACTTTTTGTGGAAAGATCATATCTGAACCTCTTATCTATATGCAACTGTACTGAGTAGCAGAAATGCAGTGAGCTGAAAAGGCTAAACCTACGCACACGTTTTGTGTAAACAGGCAAAGTGGATATGTATTATTTTTTTCTTAATGGATTTTTCCCCTCTGTTTTAGTCATCTGTAATAATGAGGAACAAAAGTCTCTTCACTAGCAGAATGCAATAATCTTCTAAATGTAGAATTATCTGCCCTTGCCAGGGGATATTTGTGACCATTGAATAAGATGTTAGAATCTTAAAACATTCTCCATATTATGGATACCTCATTATGGTGTTTACATCCTTTTTAATACTGGCTCCTGAGAGGAGACTACCATCACCGGTGAGATCAATAATAAACTGTCTGCCAGGTTCTGGAGCCTGGTCCCTGAATATCCACGAGGGGTGGCATTTGCTGCAAATGCTGCTTTATGCATCCCTGAGGCGAATGAAGACAGCAAGCGGAAGCTGGGTCCAACACACAGCTCCACGTTGCCTAGAGTGCCTCAATTGATGTTTTAAATTATTTATAGGCTAATTGAAATGGGATCATTGTACACTGGTTTCCACATACTTCTTTTTCCCTCACCGGTCATACAATACTTCTCTAACTCCTTGTTGAAACCAGTGTTTTTATGCCATTTGAAAATGTTTTCGAGGGTAGTCTATATCATTCTAGCTCATGTTAGAATGTTTACCATTTTCGTGTTTTGATCACGTTGAGCATTTTAGCATTGGTGGGAAGAGTTCCACCTCAGAATTTCTACATCTCAGCACTACCTGGCTGAGCTCTGTCAGGCGTACGTAACCTTAGCAGTCATGGAGCATTCTGAAATTGTTCCTGTTCCCAGTGGAGATAAACGTAAGAGAAGTCATTCTTACTAAATTAGAAGGCTTCTTAATTGATCCAAATGTGTTTTAAATACCATGTACTCAAACACTGAAGTAGGTACTTAAGGATCGATAAGATTATGTTGATACTCTTACAGATCTATGCTTATTCAACATTCATGCAAGAAATATTGATTAAGCATCTGTTATATATAGGCTCATGGCTAAATACTGCATATGTGGCTATGAATGAGACTGACATGGGTCCTGCCTATCAAGCATTTTGTAATTTATGGAAATATGTGTCTGAACTAAAAGTAAGAGGACAGAACCCTACATCAGCATCAGACGATATGAGTACTTATGCACTTATCCCAACTCAACCCCTCCTTGCTGTAGAACCCCAGCCTGCCCATTTAACCTTGATGAGCCTTCCTTTTCTCACCTGTAAAATAGGAATATTACTGATCACTGGCTTGTTATGAGGATCAAATGTGTTCTAAAACATATTGTAAAATGCAGCACGTGACAAAAAGTAACATAACAATATTATTAAATATAGCTATTAACTAATGTGCCCATCATTGTTCTTCAACTGATGACTGACAAGGCTCAAACAACATGCCAGTGTTTCCAAGGATTTCAATGCAGTAATGTAAGTGATATAATTTCTCTATTTTCCCTCACAGGAATCTGCAGCTTATAAAGCTGTGAATGCACTTCGGTCGGTATATGGGGTACGGTATAGATATGGACCTGCCTCCAGCACATTGTGTAGGTTTCCTGTGTATGTTGTGTTAGAGTTGTCTCTTGAACTAATATCCTGTGTAATTACTTCCCTTTAAAAAAAGAGAAGGTGTGTTCCACCCTAAAGTGGGATTTTTGACTACCAAATTAGCCAAGGAAAATGAAGGGAGTTTATCTCTGATTAGTTTTTTGACAGAAATCACTACACACACTTAAATAAATTCTAAGCAGAGAATATTCTAGGCATGTAGCAATGACTACAAAGTTACAAAGTTGAATTGAGATTTTATGACAGTAGAAAGTACCAAAATGGTCTCCTTAAGCAATTGTAACTACTGTAAGCATAGAAATGGGCCTTGAGATGATAATGAAGTAATGTTTCAGCCTGAAAATAGCTTCCCTTTTATTCCTTTCCATTCTTCTTATGAAATTCTGTTTCTTACATAACACCTTCAGCTGAATTTCTCCTTAAAAGGTGATTAAAATTTTTTTAATTTTATATGAAATAAAGAACGACTAAGTATATGGAAAGAACTTGCACAAAAAAATCAGGAGACATGGATTCTGCTCCGAATTCTGTCACTAGGTATAATCCTAGCCAAGATATTAATTCTGGGCTTCGTCTGCAACTGTTCAATGAGCATTTGGATAAGATCATGTCTCAGGGCCTTTCAAATTCTAAAATTCATTGACTACGTGATTTGGAAAATCTAGTGAGAAATCATAAATATATGAAGGTCTGTGTATGCACATTAAGGTATCACACACACAGGTTATATGTATATGTGAAGATAGTGAGATCCAATTATGCTTTTCAGTGAGGTAGCAAATTTCCCCTGATGTCTTTAATCTACCTGTCATTATATTCCTAACCACTTTCTTCAGCCTTCAGAAGAAAATCTTGGTTTATCAATTATCAATGCTTATCAAATAAGTTAATCCTAATAATGAGAATGTCCTATATATCTGAACTTTTTTTCAAACTCCAGGATCATTGGTCTAATGCTGACCTTTTTAGAACAATTTTTCAATAGAGCCACCATGAAAAGGGAAATATAATATTAAAAAGTCACATTACCAACTTTTGGTCAAGGTAGCAGAGTAGGAAAACACTGTGATCACCTACTCCCGTGACTACATCAAATTACAACTAAATTATAGAGCAGCCATCCTTGAGCACCACCTAAAGACTAGCTGAACAGAACTCCTATAACTAAGGATATAAAAAAGCCACAATGAGACTGGTAGGAGGGGCAGAGACAGAAAATGGGCTGATCTAATACCCCAACATGTGTGGAGGCTAAGAATCAGGAAAGATATCTTGACTGTGGAGGTTTCCACTGAGGAGCAAGGGGTCCCAGCCCCACATCAGGGTCCCAGCCCCATACCAGGCTCCCCAGCCCAGAGCACCAGTGCCAGGAAGAAGAATCCCCACAACATCTGGCTGTGAAAATCAGTGGGGATTTCCTGTGGGTGAGAGAGAGAACCACTGTAGACCCAGGCATTGTCTTATAGGGCCCAAGAACAGACTTACTCACCTACACTTGTCATAAGTTCCAACTAAGGGACAGCAGCTCGAAAAGCTCCAGGAACATATGAGGAGGAACTGAATTGACTGGCTTCACAGAAGGGGTAGAAGAGCAGCTCTCTCCAGGACAGAAGTGCTGGCAGGCACCACTGTTCCTTTGTTGAGCCCTCCCACCACCCAACCTACACACACAAGCAAGAATCGAATCTGAGTCTCTAACAATCTAACAAGGCTAATACCCCTTGCCCCACTCTGAGGATTTCCTGAAACCCTGCCCCACTCAACTCACATACCAGCCAAAACCTCTTCCACTAGCTATTCTTCACAAATGGCCACCTAGGCCTGGGCTATAGATTTTCCTAAAATCTCTCAAAGGTTAACAAACCCAAAACAAGCAGCAGCTGGCTTCAGCATGCCCTGTGCCTCTTACTAAGCAGCCCCTAGCCTGGCACTACTGGCAGCCAGCCTCAGTTTACAGCATAGCCTCTCCCAGACACCTCCAAGCCCAGCATAGGCAACTATCAACCATAGATCACTTTACAACTCCTACCAGGTGTTCCTGGGCCAGGCATAGACAGCAGCTGACCTGGGCCTGCACCAAAGCCCCTCTCTAGAGGATCCAGAGCCAACACACACAGTGCCCAACTTCAGACCACACCAGAGAACAACCCAATTAGCTCCACAAATGACACACCTAAAGGGTGGACTGGGCAGGCACCAGAGCAAATCCTGCTCTACAAGGTCAGCTCCTGCACAATAGCTCATCCACTGTAGTCACAGCCAGTCCTCACAGCCAGTCAGCCTGAGGGTAAATCCTACCCACTGACATATCAACAGAAATCAAGGTTCAGGTACAACAGGAGGGCATATACACAACCCACACAAAGAACGCCCATGGGGCACCCAGCTCAAGTGACCAGGGAGAATACAGCACTGAACTCCACAGGACACCTACTACATAAGACCACTTTGCCAAAAATGGGAGACATGGAAGATCTACCTAATACATGAAAACAAACAAAGGGAAGCAGCCAAAATGAGGAGACAAAAAACCATGTCCCAAATGAAAGAATATGATAAAACTTCAGAAAAAGGACTAAATGAAATAGAGGCAAGCAATCTACCAGATACAGAGTTCAAAGCACTGGTTATGTGAATGTTCAATGAACTTAGACAAATAATTAATGAACTCAGGGAGAACTTACATAGAGACAGAAATCATAAAAAAGAACCAGTTATAAATGAAGAATACAATAATGGAAATGAAGACTACACTAGAGGGAATGAAGAGCAGATTAGATGAGGCAGAGGATCGAATCAGTGATTTGGAAGACAAGGTAGCAGAAAACCCAATCAGGACAGCAAACCCAATCAGGACAGCAAAAAGAAAAAATTTGTAAAAGTGAGGATTGTTTAAGGAACCTCTGGGACAACATCAAGTGTAACAACATTCACATCATAGGCTTACCAGTGGAGAAAGAACAAGGGATAGAAAATCTATTTGAAGAAATACTGACTTAAAACTTTCCTAACTTGGTGAAGGAAATAGGCATACAAGTCCAGAAAGTGCAGTTAGTCCCAAATAAAATGAACCTAAAGAGGCTCACACTATGATACATCATAATTAAAATGCCAAAATTTAAATAAAAAGAATCCTCAAAGCAGCAAGTTAAAAGCAGTTAGTTCCATACAAGGATCCTCCCATAAGACTGTCAGGTGGTTTCTCAATGGAAACTTTGCAGCCCAGAAGAAACTGGCATAAAACATTCAAAGTGATGAAAAGCAAGAACTTACAACTAAGATTATTCTACACAGTATAGCTATCATTTAGAATTGAAGGAGAGATAAAGAGCATCCCACATAAGAAAAGATAAAGTATTACAGCACACAGTATTACAAGAAATGTTAAAGGGACTTCTTAAAGAAGAAAAAAATAAAAAATATGAATAATAAAATGGCAATAACTATACACCTATCAATAATTACTTTAAATGTAAATGGATTAAATGCTCTAATCAAAAAACATAGAGTAGCTGAATAGGGAGGAAAACAAGACCCATAAATATGCCCCCTACAAGAGACCCACATCAGATTGAAAGACACATACAGACTGAAAGTAAGGTGATGGAAAAAGATGTTTCATGAAAATGGAAACAAAAAAGCTGAGATAGCAATACTTATATCAGACAAAATAGACTTAAAAACAAAGCCTATGACAAGAGACAAAGAAGGACATTACATAATGATAAAGAGATCAATCCAACAAGAGGATGTAATCCTTGTAACCATTTATGCACCCAAAGTAGGAGACTCTAGATATATAAAACAAATATTGGCACACATAAAGGGAGAGATCAACAGTAATACAGTCATAGGCAGGAATTTTAACACCCCATTGACAACAATGAATAAATCATCCAGACAGAAAACCAATAAGGAAACAGTGACCTTAAATGACCCATTAGGCCAGATGACCTTAATTAACATTTTTAGAATTATTCACCTAAGGGAGAATATACATTCTTTTCAAGTGCACATGGAACATTTTTTAAGATAGACCACATGTTAAGCCAAAAAACAAGTCTCAATAAATTTAAGGATGAAATCATATCAAGCATCTGCTCCAATCACAATGGTGAGAAATTAGACATTAAAAGAAAACTTAAACACACAGGAACATGTGGAGGCTAAATAACATGCTACTAAATAATGAATAGGTTAATAACAAAATTCGGAAGAAATCAAAAGATACCTTGAGACAAAAAACACAACAACCTAAAATCTGTGGGACACAATCAAAATAGTTCGAAGAGAGAAATTCATAGCAATACAGGCCTACCTCAAGAAACAAGAAAAATTTCAAATAAACAATCTAACCTTATACCTAAAGGAACTAGAAAAAGAACAAAGCTCAAAGTGAGTAGAAGGAAACGATAAAGATTAGAGCAAAAACAAAAGAGTCTAAAAAATAATAGAAAATATCAATGAAAGCAAAAGCTAGTTCTTTGAAAAAATAAAAATTGATAAACCTTTAACCAGACTCATCAAGAAAAAAAGAGAGGACCTGAATAAATTAAATCAGAAATGAAAGAGAAGAATGACAGTCAGCACCACAGAAATACAAAAAATTATAAGAAAATTCTATGAATTATATGACAACAAATTGAATAATCTATAAGAAATGGATATATTCCTAGACTGAATTAAGAAAAACAGAAAATCACAACAGACCAATAACTGCTAACAAAATCAAGTCAGTAAGTAAAAAATCCCCAACAAAGTCCTGGACCAGATGGTTTCACAGGTGAATTTTACCAAATATTCAAAGAAGAATTAACACTTAGGTTTCTCAAACTATTCCAAAAAATTGAAGAAGAGGGAAGGCTCCCAAGATCATTTTACAAGTCTAACATTACCTTGATTCCAAAACCATATAAAAACATTACCAAAAAAAAAGAAAGAAAATTTAGACCAATATCCCTGATGAACATAGACACAAAAATCTTCAACAAAATATTAGAAAACCAGATTCAGCAATACATTAAAAAGATCATATTCTATGATCAAGACGGATTTATTCCTGGGATTCACAGTTGGTTCAATATCCAGAAATCAATTAACATGATACACCGCATAAAGAAAATGAAGGATAAAAACCATATGATCATTTCATTAGATGCAAAAAAAAAGAAAAAAAGAAAAAAAGACACCTGACAAAATCCAATATCAATTTATGATAAAAACTCTCAGCAAAGTGGAAATTTAGGGAACGTAATTCAACATAATAAAGGCTATATATGATGAACCCATAGTTAACATTATACTCAGTGGTGAACAAGACAAGGATGCCCGCTTTCACCGCTTTTATTCAACATAGTAATAAAAGTCCTAGCTATAATGATCAGGTAAGAAATAAAGGACATCCAAATTGGAAAAGAAGTAAAACTGTCGTTATTTGTCGATGACATACTATGTAGAGAGAACTAAAGAGTCTACCAAAATACTATTAGAACCGATAAATGAATTCGGTAAGGTAGCAGGATACAAAAATTAAGATTCGGAAATCAGCTAATCAATTAATATTGCATTTTATACACCAATAAATCACAAAGAAATTTTAAAAAACAATTCCATTTACAATTGCATGAAAAAATAATAAAATACCTACAAATAAATTTAACCAAGGAGGTAAAAGACCTATCTTTGGAAAATTATAGGACACTGAAAAAAGAAATTGAAAAGGACACAAATAAATGAAAGAATATATACTACGCTCATGAATAAGTAGAATTAACATCGTTAAAATGTCATTCTACCCAAAGCAATCTAGATTCAACACAATCTCTATCAAAATACCAACAGCATTTTTTCACATAACTAGAACAGATAATCCTAAAATTTATATAGAACCAGAAAAGCCCCCAAATAACCAAAGCACTCTTGAGAAGAAGTACAAAGTTGGAGGTATACTATCTGATATCAAACTATATACTAGAAGGCTGTAGGAATCAAAATAACATGGTACTGGCATAAAAAACACATAAATTAATGCAACAGAATAGAGTCCAGAAAGAAACCCACACCTATATGGTCATTTAATCTATGACAAGGGAGGCAAGAATATACAATGCAGTAAAGACAGTCTATTCAATAAAAGGTGTCAGGAAAACTGGACAGCTACATGCAAAAACATGGGACTAGACTACTTTCTTATACCATATTGAAGAATAAATTCAAATTAGATTAAAGACTTAAATGTAACACCCAAAAGCATAAAACTCCTAGAAGAAAACATAAGCAGTAAACTCTCTGACATTGCTCTTAACGATATATTTTTTTGGATATGTCTCCTCGGACAAGGGAAACAGAAAATATAAACAAATAGAACTATATCAATCTATAATGTTTTTGCACAGTGAAGGAAACCATCAACAAAACAAAAAGACAACCTATCGAATGGGAGAAGATACTCGCCAATGATAATCCAATGAGAGGTTAATGTCCAAAATCTATAAGGCACTCATACTTAACGCCAAAAAGATACTCCATTAAAAAAGTGTGCAGAGGAACTGAAGAGACATTTTTTTTAAAACAGGAAATACAGATGGCCAATAAATATATAAAAAGATGCTCGACATCATTAATCATCAGAGAAATGCAAATTAAAACCACAATGCAGTATCACCTCACACCTGTCAGAATAGCCAGCAACAATAAATCAACAAACAACAAGTGCTGGAGAGGATGTGGAGAAAACGGAACCCTCATGCATTGTTGGTAGGATTTTAAATTGGTGCAGCACTTTGGAAAACAATATGGAAGTTCCTCAAAAATTAAAAATAAACTACCATATGACCCAGCAATCCCACTTCTTAGTATTTATCCAAAGAAATCCAAAACACTAATTTGAAAAGATACATACACTATGTTCAGTGCAGCATTTTTTATAATAGCCAAGATATGGAAGCAACCTAACCATCTATAAACAACTGGATAAAGAAGAAGTTGTACGTACAGACAATGTAATATTACTCGGCCATAAAAAGAATGAAATCTTACCATTTGCAACATGGATGGACCTAGAGGGTATTATGCTAAATGAAATGTCACACAAAGACAAATATCATATACTTTCACTTATATGTAGACTCTAGAAGACAAAATAAACAAAACAGAAACTCAGATACAGAGAACATTTTAATGGTTGCCAGATGGGAGGGGTTTGGGGAGGTAGGTGAAAAAGGGGGCGGGATCCAGAAACACAATTGTCAGTTATAAAATAGTCACAGGGATGTAAAGTAGAGCATAGGGAATATAGTTAATATTATAATAACTATGAATGGTGCCAGGTGGGTACGAGACCTATCACAAGGATCACTTCATAAGTTATATAAATGTCTAACCACTATGCTGTACACCTGAAACTAACATAATATTCAATGCCAACTGAAATTGAAAATTTTTTTAAGTTTTTAAATAATGGGGGAAATCACATTACCAAGTAATACCTATATATATTAACAATTTTAAAACATTAATTTTTAAAAATTTTACTCACACTTCACATTCTCAGCTTGATATCAAGGCATAGTCATAGTATTATATTTACTGAGAAGAACCTGTTACCATAGAAATGAGGCTGTCGCAGTACTGTGATGTAACTGTTGGCACATATAGTCTCTGACTTTGGCTACTATGACTACTATTTGTATTGCCAGTGTACTCCAACCCAGAAGGACAATGAAGCCACAGCCAGCCCACTTTCTGTCTTTAATTGAAGCAAAGAGAGCCTGAGAAACACCAGAGTCATGTAATTGCCATCTTCACATAATAATTCTATCTCTAACTTGTCCTGGCAAAAAATAGCATTAAAAAATTGTATCATATGAGCAAATAATGCTCTGAAATTTTTAACATAATAGTGTGTCAGGCTAGATCATATAAATTTCAGGGGGAAAGGATATAAAGATTCTTCTATGAAACATGTACTCATTTATTTTAAAATTATGAAGAGCATGTTATGCTAAAAGCTACATACTGGGCACTTTGGGGTGTAAAGATGCAAAATAACAAGTAATATATGCTAAGCACATTATTTCATTTCATTTTCACAACGACAGTATGCAGTAGGTATTATCCCTTTTTCAAAACGGGACACTGAGGCACAGAGAAGTCACAGGTGGTGGGACCGGATACAGCCCAAGTTTGCAGTCTACCTCTAGTGCCCACACTTTCAACTCTGTTGAAAAGCTGGAGCATGTGAGATCACAGGAGCCTTAAGGAGATAGTTGCCAGAAAGGATTGTCAGGGAGGTTAAACACTACTGAGAGGTCGAAAGTTAGATCTGAGGAAGAAAAAGTTTTTAAAAAAAGGAGATTAGGCTTGCTGTCATTGGTGACCTTCAAGAACAAAGTTTTCATGGACTGGTAGAGGCAAGAACCAGGGTAAAAGTGGTTGAAGATGTACAAGAAACATACATACTCTTTTGAGTTCTAAAGTGACAAGAAGAACAAGAAGATGGCATATAGCAGGATCATGAGAAGTACTATAGGAAAACCGTGCTTAAACATTTTGATCAGTGCAGATGCAAAGAGGTGTGGGGGCGGGGGTTAATTAATGAAACAAAGTCCCAGAGAAGGGACCCTCTCACTAGCAGAGAAGACAATGAATGGTATCAAAAGATGACACGTAAAAGACAAGCAACTTTTCTTCCTCTGAGCCAAAAAGAGAAAAGTCAGAGAGCCGTGATGTCAGTAGAGGAAGTGATGGGCTAATTACCCATGATGAGCATGGCGACAGCAAAAAAGTGAGGGGCTGGAAGAGACTAGAAGGACGAGAAGAGAAAGAGAAAGTTTCCGTAAATGAAAGTCTAGAAAAAGGAGCTGAGAGCAAGCAGCTTTGGGAGCAGAGAAAGTGATTAGTGTGAATTTACAGCAAAGACTGTTTCCAGCTCCCTCATAAGAAGTGAAAGCAGAGAAACTAGGCCAGGGAGTGAGAACTAGCCAAACAAAGGCAGAAAAAGGACTGGATGGAGCCTTTTAGGGGTCTGGTGAGAAATTAAGTGAATTGACCATGGCCCGGTGGAGAGTCAAATGAAATTAGAAGAAGGGTGGGAGGAGTCTGGAAACTTCGAACTTAAGCAAAGACAAAGAACAAGTTTATTAGGAATGAAAAAATAAGGAAAGTAGAAGAAATTAGGAGGTTTTCTGGGAACAGAATTTCAATATTCTAGACCTTGGAAGTGGAGAAGAACTGAGTGATGAGAAGGAAAAAAGTCCACGGTGTGGTTTTGTTTATGGATGAATAAAGTGTGGGTGGGGATAAATGTTACTGGAATTGAGGCTGAGAAATTCGAGGTCATTGTACTGGAAAAACATTAATGCTTAGACTAGATCCTCAAAAATGATAGCAGGTATGATTTATAAATTCCATGAGCTCAATGTCAAGGAATTACTGTTAAATCATTCTTGTTGAAATGGTATTTATTGGAAGGATTTAGTATAGCTTAGTGAACAAGTACTATATATACATTTTTTGAAAATTACGCAGACTCTTTGGTAAGGCTGAATTTTTTTTTTTTTTTTTTAACTTTTAGATGTGAGTTCTGGTAGCTCAATGGATTGGGCCTACAAAACTGGAATACCCTACACATTTGCTTTTGAACTGCGTGACACTGGGCACTTTGGATTTTTACTCCCAGAGATGCTTATCCAACCCACCTGTACAGAAACCATGCTGGCCGTGAAGAACATCACAATGCACCTACTAAGGAAGTGTCCTTGAGATGGCCCAAGGTCAAGTCCACCACCAAAGAGAGGGCTGATTCTGCACAAGAGTTAATTGGCAATGGGTAGAAATTGTTTTTAAAGAGAGGGGCATGTTTGGAGTGAACATATCTGTGGACTTTAAAAGGAACTTCTCATGCAATTCAATGCTCTGTGGCAATAAAAAAAAAAGATAAATAATAATAATAAAACAAGAGCATAGACTAGTTTGTTGTAAGAGAAAGCATCTATTTTATGTCCTGTCAGAGTCTCATTTGATTAAGGTGGGGAACATTTTCAAATTCTTTTGCCTCAAGAAATGTACAAATTGAGGATTTCATTTTAAATAAATCTCATGTTCTCAATTAAGATCTTGACTACTAATAATGTTTAATCATGTGCTTCTTTTGAAATGAAAATTTTTGAAATGGAAAGAACTATATCCCTTAATATAATAAATATAAAATTTTCAAGACTTTGAGTTAGTCACATCTTTATTCCCTGGCATTAGTGTACCACGTACCTATAAAATAGCAAGATAGAGCATTTATGTTTAGACTCTGAGAATACCACTTTTAAAATAGGAGAAAACATTAATTGAGGTGCCAGACACAGCAGTAAGCACTTTACACTAATAACCTCACATTATTCTTCATATATTATACTACTATTATCCTCATTTTTCAAATAAGAAAATTGAAGCTTAGAAAGGTCATCTAGACTTTCATTTCCAGAAATATGACAGCATAGAATTCTGGACTGCTGGAAATAACTAAAATTTCTGGACAAAATTTGATTTTTTAAATCATCTTTAAAATATCAAACAAAAAAGTAAGGGGATCTCCAGCCAGGCATTGAGTGAAGGCAGGAACCCAGAAAGCTAAGTGGTGCGCTATTATCCTGAGAGCATTGTCAAACCAGTGAGTGAAGACTGATTTTCACAGCATTTTGGAGAATGAGAGCAGAGAAGAAAGCTCAAGTCTCCCCTAAGATGAGAAGTCTAATAGATTCTCCTCCTACCAGGATTCTGGGATTCCCAAAGGTAAATTACAAATAATCCCCATACTACATCTAAGAAACCACAAGGAAAATGAACTATTTCAAATTTGGCAAGAGTAAAGAGGGGAGAAGTTGCCACTGAGAATGTGGAACAAGTCAACCCTCACCTGAGTTTGCAGCCCGATTTCAGATTACAGGTATTTCTCACTTATCAAAATTCACTTAAGACCACCCGCTTTTATGATACACCTACATTAGTACCTGTTTTCACTAACAAAAAGAAATCCGAAGAGGATTTTTACTTTTACAAAAAAAAAAAAGAGAGAGAGAGAAAAAGCAAAAATAGCATTCAGTGTTTGTTTTGCAGGGAGCTATGACAGAGGCAGCGCGCACCCCAATCAGTGAATATGACCCCATTGAGCTCCCTACCTGGGAACTAAGCATCTCAGCACCAAGCCACTGAGACTGTGTCTTAGTGAGCATCTGTGCTTTATCTTGATTTATTCTGTACATCCATTAGCACGATGTGTCCTAAGATGACTGCTTCTTCACTTCATGCCATTTTGGTTTATGAAAGTTTTCACAGGAACTTTACTTTCAGAAAGAGGGATAAACCGGTACCTAAATGGTCGGATAAACCTCTAGCCAAAAATGTAATGCAGATTAATCCCAGATTGGTTGTGCCCTCCAAGTATTTGGTAGAAGCAAATACAAATCCTCTCAGAGGACTTATCTGACACATCGTGAACACCGGGATAAAGAGATGAGCCTAAAAATTTCCAGAGAGTAAAAAAAAAAAAAAAAGTGACGACAAAGGAATAAGGACTAGAGTAGCACGAAATTTGTCAACAACACCACTGAAGCCTGAAGACAGTGGAGAAATGCCTTCAGAGTTTTGCAGAAAAGTTTTGTCTTAAAAATCTACATCCAGTAAAACAATCAATGAAATGTCACATTTTCATAAAATTGAGGTCCTAAATCATTCACCTTTCTCAGGCCACTCGTGAAGGTTATGCCTACCAAAATGAGGCATAAATCAAGAAAGAGAAAGATGTAGGTTGCCAGAAAATAGGAAATCCAACATAGGAGAAAGGCATGGGAAAAGAATCTCAAGATAATGGTGAAGGGAAAAGTCCCAGTAATGGCTGTATGCCAGGCTTAGAGAACAACTAACTCGGAATAGGAGAACCGAGGACTTCAGATTCTCCAAAGTGAACATGAAACGGAACACTTAAACATGTTCATTTTAACTTATATCAGAAAGTGTAGGGGTGAGTCAGTAATAAAGCACAGATACCAAGCAAACAACAAAAAAATGCAATTGTTAACGCTGGTGAAAACATTAAGTAATAACACAAGAGAAGAAATAGAATCGTAGTATACTATGTGACATATCTATAAATAATATTTATATAGTTAAATGTTAGCCCTAAATATTAATTTAACCCAAAACTGTGATATTAATATATCGAAAGGACAGGAAGAAGTAAATGTATATTAGAGGAAGGGGTATAGGAGAACTAAATCTTCAACTGCTATAGTAGGACATCTATAGACAACATCTAAAATGGAAAAAGAAATCAAGAAATATCCGTATTTGCATTTAATTTAGAAATAAGTAAATACTAGAAGAAATAATTTTAAAACTTTTGAAAAAAAGATATAAAAAGATTTTGAATTATTAAACTAATGAGAGGCAATGGGAGTCAGAAAGGATGAAGCAGAGGACTGCTGTGGTTTTTTTTAATACAAATCTTGTCATAATATTTGACTGGTGTTATTTTTAATTATGAAAAATATCTTACGAAGAGTACATTCCTCTGAAAAGAAGATCGTTTTTTAAAAAGAACTCCCAACTTCTCACCACCCTATCTTTTTGATGTTAATAAAATGCACATCGCTTCAATAAAAAAATCAAAATTAAATCTAAAAAAAGTATTAAATGAGATTATATGTGGAATACCTAGCACAGAATCTAGAACATAGTAGACAATCAGGAAACGTTCATATTCTCTGTTTTACGAATCTAATTTCTCTTTATCTTTAGTTCCAGTTACATATTTGCAGAAATGGATATGAGGCAGGCTTGAGATTCAGTCTTGCTAAGGAACTATATGCCTGGGAATTTAAACCTTAATTCATCTCATCTGACAATAAATGTTCAGAAATGATCTGGGGACAGGGAGTTGTTTTATACTAGTTATTTCTATTCACACAACAGGCGAAAGCCTAAGTGTCCAGAACAACCAGGAAGGCCAGATATTGATATTAATGAGTCTATTAACAAAGCAAAAAGTGCCGAATCTTGCTGGAATTTAATCTTTTGTTCTCAAGGCCGTTAGGGAATAGATGCGAAAATAAAACATTGTTTTAAGTTCTAATACTCCCTATAAGATTGTTTTTAATAGACTATTAATGGAAACAAAAGGATCTACTCTTAACGGTTTACTTTTTTTAATAGTAAAATTATAGTTCAAATTTTGATTTACTTTTCTTAACATGGGAAATTTGTTAGTTTTATATAGTGTCGTATATTACCTTAGCTCTCGATAATTATTTTGGGCTGCTGCATCACGAAAAGTATTTACAGTTAAGTTGTACCAGATCAAATCTAATTGATTAAATCAGAATTCTGTGCAATGTTAATTAGAGTATGCTGTAGATTAAGCAAGGTAATTATATGAGCGATTGCATTTAATGGAATATTTTCATGAATCTAAATATTGAATAATAAACCTGAAAACAGCTACATTGAATACCTAATATATTTTACAAAACAAATTGCACTGAGAACTACTAGGATATCTGAAGGATGCACATAAAAATAAAGACAACTCGAAGACCTTGCAAAGCACACTCTAACTCCTCATTTCCAATGTGCTGCCAATTCCCCACACTGTGTTTCTGCAGTTATAACTTCTTCTTTCCCCAGCGGATGTCCGGTGGGAGTTTCTGCCCAGGGCATCTATCCTTGTTCTACCAGCCCAGCCTAAGTAAGGGAAGCATTTCAAATAACTCAAGACTTCATAGCGCATAGACTCTAGAGTACTGTTCACCTTATAATTTAGTTATCAGTTAAATGAAAATGCTAGCTTCCCCACATAACACTGAAACAATGTGTTCTACGTTTCGAACTGACTCAAAAGTGAATGCTCCCCCAGTGGAAAGAATTAAAATAGGAACACCCGGCCCCTCCACGAAAGTGAGCCAGCAGCCCAGTCTACATGCTCTAGAAGCAAAAATTTGCAACGACCCAATGGCTGGTGTTAGGTTCAGTTACTATATTTTTATTACGGCTATAGTTTTGACAGAAGCACAGATCCCCACTATCGTAGGTAGAATTCTACAGTAATTTAAAGCTATAGTCCATATTCTAAGGGAGGCTATCTGATATCTGCTAAGCAGAAATTGTGTTGATAGCCATTTAGATCCAGCTGTGTACCTCAAGCAATACTAGTCTGAAATATTGTGCAAGGTTTCATTTGGTAGAGCTGTAAACGTGAATATACAGTTTAATGGCTCTGTGCCAGGGGCAACAAATTCCATAAAAGAATGAATATTTGAAGTAAGTGAAACTATGTCTGCCATAAACTGTCATAGGAAATACATGAGGATAAGCTAACATGAGCTAACAAGGAGTGTCCAAGAACCAATTATGTGTGGCAATAACAGTAACTAAGAATTTATACCCAAAGAATTAATTCTGTACTGGGAACTTGAAATCTAATTGATGTTCTTTTTAGACTCATAAATATGAATGCTAGCCTTTATCTTTCTTTTAAAATATTTGTGAGCCTGTTCCTTTTCGTTATCTTTAGCCAAGCTGCTTTTATTTTCTTCCTTACTAGACCAGTTCTTGGGCTTTTGTGTGGGGAACACAGGGGTGCAGGAAGATCTTTTGACAAAAAATGGGAACTTTCCCAGAGACTTTGAGGGCAGGAAGCATGGGCAATGGATAGGAAAGAGGAAATTTTAAGACTCATTGGTAAAGATTTATATACTGCTTTTGTGGTGTTCAACAAAGACTTTGAAATTACTGGGCCATATTCTTTTAAATACATCATTATTTGAGAATGAACTATTTGGACCCCAGTTTTATAAACATTAATATTTGTACTGGATATTTAATATAATTTGTGTGGCTAGCACCTTAGAATGCCCTTGTCATGTCTAGGGAATATGAAGTCTTAAGAATACTGTCTTCCCAAGACAGAACCTAGAAAATGTGGCTCCCCAATATCTTTTGCAGAATATGGGCATGTGACTTAGGCTCCCCTAAGAACAGGTTCAGAATGAGAGTTGCTAGTCAACGGGTATAAAATTTCAGTTACACAGACAAATAAGTTCTAGAGACCTACTGTGCAACACT